CGGTCGCACCATGCCGGGCATCGCGTGTTCATGTACTGTGTAGGTTTAGTGTAATCTTCACTGTATGGATAACTGAAAACATTGACACAAGATGCACGACATGAAAATGACACTTTTGGAATAACAATTACAATACATTATTTTAAGAGATTTGACTTCTGTAATCTGACACACTGCTTCAAAAGTTTGGGGTGGGTAAGATTTTTAATCTCTCTAAAAGTCATTTGATCAAAAAATACAGTAAAAAAGTAACATATAAATATGATTATTTACAATAACTGCTTTCTATTTGAATATATTATAAAATATAAATTATTCCTGTGATGCAAAGCTGAATTTTCAGCATCATTACTCCAGTCTTCAGTGTCACATGATCCTTCAGAAATCATTCTAATATGCTGATTTGCTGCTAAGAAACATTTCTTATTATCATCGATGTTGAAAATGGTTGTGCTGCTTCATATTTTTGTGGAAACTGTGATTCATTTTTTCAGGATTAGTTAATGTTGTTTAAAATTATACACTTTGATCTTGCAGAAAGGTCATCTCTTTCAGTAGCTGAGAACAATATTGTGCTTCGAGTTTTATATTTAGAATATTTTGCTCTAATGAATATTGTGCCCTTAACATTGTGAAGTGTTCAACAAGACTTCCTCAAGCTGCTCACCTGGGAGGAAAGTGGATCTCCTCCTCTGTGATGACGTCGTGGAATGCAGAGATCTCCTTATCGTACTTCAGCAGCTGAAAGACAGAAAAATACATATGCACAGACTCAGTGATATACTCTTTTGATTATACGCTATGTCTCATTTCTTAAAACACAATTCAGACCTCTTTTCCGTTGTTTTCTCTGAACACGGCCTGGTGCAAGTAAGCAAATAACTTGGTCTCTATATGAAGGAGGACCTAGTGATGGGAGTGATTGAAAAAAGGACAGAAAGAAAGAATGAGGTAAGGAAGAGAAAGCAATGGAACAAAACATAAACACAGGAAAGACAAAGAGGTGAGAAGAGAATGACAGAGGTTAATGTAGGGCATATAAAAACTAGCAAAGAATGGAGAGTAACTCCAACTTTGCTGGCACAAAAAATGAAGCACACGTCTGCAGGAGCGATCTAAATGCAAGCACGCATTTTCTGGACTGGCAAGAAGTCAATATCAACCCTCCAAAAACCATAAATCTGGCTGGACAGTGTACTAGATATGTCTGAGTGCACACAAAAAGAAAATATTAATCATCTCCTGGACGCAAAATCAGAACCTTTAACCCTTTAGGCGCCGGGGATTTTTGGAAAAATGCTGAATTTTGACATCAAGATTTCAAAAGCGTGTGGCTTGAAAGGGCTTAAAGATAGAGATCTACTGTAAATTAGAAAAATGTTGTGCATGAACGAACGTTTATGTGGGGTGTAAATATACTCATCTAATTTGCATATTATGACGTCATCAGGGTCATAATATGCAGGCCATCTTGAATTTCATAATATTCAGGAAATAGTAGATATTGAATTGATGTTTGAACTTATTTGCATGTTTTTTTTGTCTTTTTATCCTCATTCCAAATGATCAGGAAAAGAGGAAATCAACAGTAAAACAGGAGAAAGTAGTAAATTATTACTATATTACTGTGCCACAGTAAAATGCATGTGCCTATTTTTTGATCAGTTGACCAGCTATCTGCCCAACCAGGTATCTAGGTGACAAAGTTTATAGTTCTTGAGAGTATGGTACCTCTCATTGCAGCACACAGACCTTCTCCACACTGACTGCACCTGTACTTTGTCTGCCGGCTGCCCTTAAGAGCATGCGCGATCAGAACAAACAGAACCCCTGCTGCCTCTACCTCTAGTAACAGCTCTCCAATGGACACTACGACCACATTCACCGCTGCCACCCCCATCCCCATTGGGCAAAGGGTCGAAATGATCACTTGTTTGTGCTTCGTGAACACTCGCGCCTTGCACGACGGCACCATTGCGCTGCAAAGATGTACCGGGAGAAGCGCGATTATTAGACAAGCGATCGTCATTTCCAAAAGGCAAATATTCCCCTTCAGAGTCAGAAGAACATTTGCAACACATCTTCACGGTACAACTTTTTATTAGCCATTTGGCGATTTTCTCTCACAAATCTCACAATTTTCTCGCATGCTATGAACTAAACTGCTTCGGCATCAATGACACAATAGCTCACATGCTCTGCTATTTCCTCGAACACTTTGAATAGGAACGTGATGTAATTTTGGTCCAGAATCGAAGTGCTACATGTCTGCCATCTAGTGGTAGGGAATACAAATTAGATATTGCACCATATCAGGAACTACAGTCTATTTTATTAAGTATGACGTCTTGTCACAATTTTGCGACTTTGGCACTTAGAGGGTTCATTGATGTTTACAAAATCTTAGTAAAGCAAGTGTGACTGTAGACTTGCTGGTGGCTCTGTTATAACATAATCAAAAAACATAAAAAAAGTTAAAAAATAAGGCTGTCAATTCACTGTAATTTACTGTATAAATAAATATATATACAGTATATATATATATATATATATATATATATATTTATACATACCGTGGTGAGTGTAAGTCTCTAACAAAGTATTTATCTGATCAAAAATACAGTAAAGCAGTAATATGTTAAATTGTATAACAATGTTTTTCTGTTTTTAATGTTTGCAAAGCATCATTACTCCAGTCTTCAGTGTCACATGATCCTTCAGAAATCATTCTAATATGAAGACATTTCTGATTATTATCAGTGCTGAAAACTTTCATATTTTTCATATTTTAATTTTTTTCATATTTTTCATTTAATATTTTTGTGGAAACTGTGATGCTTTTTTTTCTTTTTCAAAAGAAACAATTTTTATTTTAAATAAAAAAAACAATGTAAAGGTCTTTACTGTAACTTTTTATCAATTTATATAAATAAAAGTATTAATTTCTTTCATAAAAATGATAGTGTACACAAGCACACTATCAAGTAATGGACTGTGTGAATAGCCTGTAAATTCCCCACAGAAAAATTGAAACACTTAACATATAAAACCAGGTTTGTAATGGCTCCTAAATGACTGAATCTTAATTTTCTGCTTTTCTCAGAAAAAAAAAATAATATATGCAAATATTTGCAGTTAATTTAATTAATTAATCATCATATAATGAATTAATAAATGCATTTACATGCATTTAATACATATAATGAACTACTTAATAAATAATGAAAATAAATAATCACCTTGTGGTCATTGTCTTTCTCCTCAAAAATGATTTTTTCTACCTCGCTGCTACTGTCTTTTTTTACCGTCTGGATATCAGCCGACATGGAGAGGTTCTGTACACAAACAAATACCCATATGCATCTTTATATACTTTATGTGTTTATGTGTTCAGCGGTTAGATATATCATATATCAGTCAGACCTACCTGTACTAGACTACGTGTGTCAAGGCGGAAATTGAAATCCCCAAACAGGAAGAAGGGGAGAGGACTGTAGCTGCTATCTGATATCCTGCAAGACAAGAGAGAGAGTTAGAAATGGGACCACTAACCACATTACGCTCAATGTCTTTTCTGCTGAAAGACAAGACACAGCATTTTACTGTGATGTATTTCTGTGTGTAAGAGAATATCCAGCTGGAATTAATGTTGGCTAGAGCTCAATTCTATTCAGCTTGTGATGAGTGAACTATGATATTACAACTTAATATTATTTTCCCCACCACTGTGGCCTTGGTTTAAAGGAAAAGTTCTCCCATCTGCTCAGACCATCCAAGATGTAGATGAGTTTGCATTTTCATCAGAACAGTTTTGGAGGAATTTAGCATTACATCACTTGCTCACCAATAACTCATCTGCAGTGAATGGGTGCCGTCAGAATGAGAGTCCAAACAGCTGATAAAAACAGCACAATAATCCAAAAGTAACCCACATGACTCAGTGACATGAAAAGCTGTGTGTTTGTAAATCCACCATTAACATGTTTTTAACTTCAAACCATTGCTTCCGGCTAAAATACAAGTCCTCTATCTATAAATTTGGCTTTCTTCCGTGAAAAAAGTCGTTTTGTCTGAATCAGGTGAGAAATATACACAGATCAAGCATCATTTACAAGTCAAAACAGTTGTAAACAATTATGTCGGTGGACTTTCAATAGACTTTTTCAATGGATGAAGCATTATTATGAATTATGGACTTGTATTCTGGCCAGGAGCGGCAGTTCAAACTTAATCTTTTTCTTAATGATAGGACTTGTTTCTTATAAACATGCAGTTTTTCACTCCACAATATGTTAAATGATGGACTGGAGTAGTGTGGATTACTTGTGGATTAGAGGAATTTAGCATTACATCACTTGCTCACCAATAACTCATCTGCAGTGAATGGGTGCCGTCAGAATGAGAGTCCAAACAGCTGATAAAAACAGCACAATAATCCAAAAGTAACCCACATGACTCAGTGACATGAAAAGCTGTGTGTTTGTAAATCCACCATTAACATGTTTTTAACTTCAAACCATTGCTTCCAGCTAAAATACAAGTCCTCTATCTATAAATTTGGCTTTCTTCCGTGAAAAAAGTCGTTTTGTCTGAATCAGGTGAGAAATATACACAGATCAAGCATCATTTACAAGTCAATACAGTTGTAAACAATTATGTTGGTGGACTTTCAATAGACTTTTTCAATGGATGAAGCATTATTATGAATTATGGACTTGTATTCTGGCCAGGAGCGGCAGTTCAAACTTAATCTTTTTCTTAATGATAGGACTTGTTTCTTATAAACATGCAGTTTTTCACTCCACAATATGTTAAATGATGGACTGGAGTAGTGTGGATTACTTGTGGATTATTGAGATGTTTTTATCAGCTGTTTGGACTCTCATTCTGATGGCACCCATTCACTACCAGAGGATCCATTGGTGAGCAAGTGATGTAAGTTCTCAAATTCTGTTCTGGTCTACATATTGGATGGCTTGAGGGTGAGCACATTTTCATGCAATTTACATTTTTGTTCTGCATTAATGAATGTCGGGATATAACATGCACGTTATTTAATTTTAATTTCATATTGTCGTTGCATTCATTGTTATTTTTATTTCTTGAATTCATTTACACAAACTCGTGTGAATAACTCAAGTGAATAATTCAGAAGCACAAACCTGTTGATGACGTATCTGAGAGCTTTCTTTCGGTTTGCAGAATACACTGACGGACTAGAGTTGCAGGCTATGAGGTTGGAGGCGTCGTGAAACAGGTGAACGTTTACCAGGTCTAAACCCCTGTACACACACACACACACACAGATAAAGCAAGACATATTATATTGGGGGAGGGGGGGTCTATCAATCCTGTCAGTCTCTGTGACTGATGCAGGCAGGACATTAGCTGACAGGATGGAGTTCAGAGGCTCCATTCATTTATCACTCATGTCTTCAGGTTCCAGTACTTCTCTATTGTACTGCTGCCACATGTCTGCAATTAATTCACTTCTGATGACACTCAATTCCACTAACACATAGCTAACACAACGTGTTTGAGGCCAAAAAACACATACACATACAGACTGTGAAGAAAATTATGAGGAACATCTCCAAAGGTGAGGAAGTGTGTGCAACAAACATACTGGTTGTGAATGAGCCATCGTGTCCTCATGTAGCCTTTTCTGGACCACTTGAACTGTAATTAAATGCACACACAATTACATTTATAATTAAGGATGCATTCATAATGACCACATATGAGTAACAGTGCTTTTTTGGAATTGCCAATAACTATTTTAGTAATACTGTAATTTTCAAGAATAGTACAGAGGAACTTATTTGTTATGCTTCCGGTGTTTATTTGCGTTTCAAGGTTTATGTAACAAATGCTCTATGCATTGTACATTTAAGCAATACAAGTACGAGCAAAATAAACCCTAAAAATGTATTCAAAACAGAAGTGTGTGACACATGAGACTCTGAAGTGAATAGAAATAGGGCTGCCACTAATGACTATTTTGATTTTGATTAATCTATCGACGAAATGATCGATTAATCTAAACGATTAATTTCCCACAAAAAAACAACAACAATTTTACTTAAGAATATTTTATTAAACTATATTTCATTAAACAAAAAGAAATCAGTAAAAACGTAAAGTGCAACATAAAGTGCAAGAAGCAAGTGTCCATCTCATAGTCCAAATCACTGAAATCAAAGTTCAGTATTATAGTGCAATGACAACATATCCACATGGTCTAGTCAAAAATCAAAAAACACTTTTTAAAGGAGTATTTACCAGAATTTATTTAGGAGAAAAATGTAAATGTGCAGTATTTCTGGGGGG